CCTCAACATCATCCTTCTCCTGGGGCTCCTCCTCCTCCTCCGCATTTTCCATATCCTCCTCCTTCTCATTATTATCACCAGCATCAGCACCATCATCATCATTATCATCGTCACCATCGTCATCATCACCAACATCATCGTCATCAACATCATCATACCCATCCTCATCCTTATCCTCCTCCTTCTCCTCCTTCTCGTAATCATCATGATCAGCATCACCATCGCCATGCCACCATTATCATCCTCATCAGCATCAGCATCATCATCATCATCATCATCCTCATCACCGTCACCGTCATCATCATCATCGTCATCATCGGCATCATCATCATCATCATCAACAGCATCAAGGGCGCGTACGCGCCACCTTACGCTAGCAGCTTACGCGCGAAGGTCGGCGCAATCCATACAATGCTTGTTACGCTGCTGAGCTTGGGAATCCAAAAGGTACCGATGCCGCTGCTGCCCGGACCTCTCCGGAGGCGCGTTCTGACCAGAATGTCAAAGCGGATCCAGCCGTGGCGACGAGGGCCTCCCAGGGGGGCCCCACAGTTTCGAGAACGAGGCGAAGGTAAGAGTATCGGTGCACTGTCCTCCTCTGCGCAGCTGGGCTCATACTTACCCGTTACGAGAGTTATTCATCTTGAGCGCTGACGACTAGGGCGTGTCCGTGTGGCCCCCCCTTCCCCCCGTAGACTCCTAGCGCGGCAGTCTTCGGCCTGGCTTGGCGGGAGAGATTTTCGGGGTCCTCCCTGGTAACATTAATAGTATATAACCAATTCAGGATAAAATCTCGCTCCCGTAGATTCACAAGGGGAAAATCACTCCCGGTCACTTCCAGGCAACTCTGAATCTCTCCCCGTATGAAACCACAAGGAGGAAGCACTCCCATGCCACTTCTCACCACAGCGCCCACACATGTCAATCTTAGCCAAGATGAACTTACTTTCGTAACGGGGATGTATACGCCAATGTTTCACGCCGCCCGTGCTCGGTGGCCCCGTGATCGCAGCAAAAAGGCGGCCGAGCCCTTCCGCCTCCTCCTCCTCCCTCCTCCTCCTCCTCCTCCTCCTCCTCCTCCTCCTCCCCCTCCTCCTCCTCCTCCTCCTCCTCCTCCTCCCCCTCCTACTCCTCCTCCTCCCCCTCCGCGGCGCCCTCGTCGCCCGCCCCCCCCTTTTCTCGTCCACGACCATCCCCCCCTGGCCGCTCCCCCCCGGCGCGCCGCGCGCTCCCCCCTGCCTCGCCCCTCCTAAAACGACGCGAAGATCGGGACAACATCGGATCGGGATAGCTCGAAATCTCTGAGAATCGGCGGCTTTGGAGGGTGTATTGGGCGCCGCGGCCGCTCCAGAGCGTTCCGGAACGCTCTGAGAGCGCTCCGGAACGCTCTGGAGCGATTTGTCCCGATCCTAGCCCTGTCTTGCCTCCCCCCCAGCCCGTGAAGCCGCAGATACAGATACGTTTTCGCCCACGGCCCCCTCGCCCACCCCGCCCCCGCACCCCCTCCTGAGCACGAGAGGCGATGTAACCGCGAAGCCCCCCCCCACCCCTCATTCTCTAGCCTTCAACCTCACGAGGCTCATCAGAGCAAGCCCCGCCCGCCCCCCCCCCCCCCAATCCACGCCTCGAAACCATCAAACTCACCGGCCTCGGCCCATGTCCCAGAACCAGATTTTCCCTGGACGCCCGAAGTGGGTACGGAACAAGTGGGCACGATGCCTGCCAACGAATATGGTCCAAACAAAACCTTCATCGGCCGCCGTTGGACGGGCAACTTGCTATCCGTGGCGACGTAAACAAGAATTCTGTTTGAAATGAACAAGAACTGCTGTCGGTCCTCGTGCCGATTCTTTCCGTACCCATTTCGATCGCACCGATGTTTGCCCTAGGTCATTGTTGACGGTCCCGGAAACCGGCGATGGACTACCATAGGCCGAATTTTGGGAAAAACGTTCTCTGTGTTTTTTTCCAGACGCTGCATATCTGGCTCTCGGGTCGTACCTCGGCTCTCCGGCGGCCGTTCGGGACGACCCGAGCACTCCTGGAACGCCCTGGGCGCGGCGCAGCCGCTGCAAGTCACCCCGAGGCTGGAAAACACCGCCGAGGACCGCCGAGGCCTGCCGAAAACCTCCAACCGTCAAGGTTTCTCGCGACGCGATCCTGGGCATCGCTCGGACGTCCATCCCCTGTGTTTTTGTTCGGTCCCGTGCGTGGTTTTGTCGCCAAGTGATTCAGGAGGCTCCTCGCTGGTCCTCGCCGAAGGAAACAAAATGCCCACGCCCGAGCGCTGCCAAGGATGCTGGAACACCGCCGAGGAACCCGCCGAGGCCCGCCGAGAAAAACTCGAGCCGAACACCTCTGGCCGTCGAGCTTTCTCGCGACGCGAGCGGGTCGGGGAGGCCAAGAGGGGGGTGTCCAAGAGGGGGGGTGCAAATCATGACCGGCGGCATGTGCGCGGCCCAGCGGGGGGGCCAGGGACGTAATGAAACAAGAAGAGGCGCCATGAAATCCGGGGAGATATCATGGCCCCCGCCATGAGATCCACCCCCCCCTAGTCATCGCCCCCCTCTTTTCCGCCACCGAGAAAACCTCCGGCCGTCGAGCTTTCTCGCGACGCGAGCGGGTCGGGGAGGCCGGGGCGCAGGTCGTCCTCATCCTCCTCCTCCTCCTCCTCCTCCTCCTCCTCCTCCACCTCCTCCTCCTCCTCCTCCTCCTCCTCCCCTCCACCTCCTCCTCCTCCTCCTCTCCTCCTCCTCCTCCTCCTCCTCCTCCTCCTCCGCCTCCTCCTCCCTCCTCCTCCTCCTCCTCCTCCTCCTCCTCCTCCTCCTCCTCCTCCTCCTCCTCCTCCTCCTCCTCGTCGGGGCGCCGGGGCGGAGGCGGGGCCTGCGCGGCCGCGGCGGAGGCGGGGCTCGCCCACGCGGGCGTGCGCGGGCTCTCGCAGGCCGAGGCGCAGGGCCGGTGCGCGGGCTCCTCGCGAGGTGGCGGGGTTGGAGCACCGCTCGAGCTCGCCCTCCTCCTCCTCCTCCTCCTCCTCCTCCTCCTCCTCAGCTCCTCCTCCTCCTCCTCCTCCTCCTCCTCCTCCTCCTCCTCCTCCTCAATCCCAATTTACCATCGGCTGCACGCAAGAGCGACCCTGGGTAAGAGCAACCCTTGGTGCGCGACCTTGGGCTCCTCGCGAGGGGGCGGGGTTGGAGCACCGCCGGAGCGGGCCCGGGCAGCTCGGGGTGGAGAACATCGAGTTTGCCTCCCCAGACCTCCAACGCATTGAAAAAATCAAGGCGGGAGTTTTTCTCGATTTTCGGCCTCCAGGGGTCCTCGCTGGGCCCCAGGACCGTCAAAAAACGACTCAGGATGAAAAACCGGTCCTGGGGAAGGGGTCGAGACTCCGGGGGACCGCGTACTGAAAAAATCACGACATCGGATCTCTGGGTCCGCGAGAGATCGCCAGTACATCGGCGACAGACCCTTGATCGCGAAAACAGCACGCTCCTGGGCGGGGTGGGCGATCGGGCCCAAATCGGCGACGAATGGGCGATGGGGGGTCGATGCATCCACCCCGAGCCATCCACCCCGCTCGCGCCGCGAAAAATCATACCAGGAATCGTGTGGCCAGTTTCGGCCTCCAGGCCCCCTCGTTGGGCCCCAGGGGGCTGTCAACAACAGCGAGGGGGGGCGACACAACAGAAAAAACTGGTGACCCCCCAGGGGTCCAGGACCCGACGTCGCCGTCGAAGTCGACAGCGTCGAAGTCGACGGCGTCATGGCAATCGTCGCCACCGTCGAGGGGGGGTAGTCGTCGTCGTCGCCGCCGCTGCCAATAGGACGACATTAACGTCCAAGAAATGTTACTGCGCTTTCGGTCTCCAGGGGCCCTCGGCGAACCTCAGGACCGTCAAACAAACGGCTCAGCTCCTAAGATGAAGAACTGCTCCTGGTGGCAAGACCCGACGTTAACGTCGTGCGTCGACATCGACGTCGCCGTCGACGGCGATGTCGCCGTCGTTGCCGTCGCAGTCGTCGTCGTCGTCGTCGTCGTCGTCGTCGTCGTCGTCGTCGTCGCCGAGGGGTCGCGGAGAGCAATGACAGGAGGGGGAGGAGGAGGAGGAGGCGGAGGAGAAAGAAGAGGGGCAAATGATAAAGAAATTATAATTCCTCGTTTGACAAATTGGAGCTCCGGATTTCGCGCGTCTGCGGTCGTCTGGGTTGCGAGGCGAATTCCGGGTCTCGCAATTGAGGCCGACTCCGGATTCCAACCGAACGGATTCCGGGTTTGGAGGCGATTCCGGGTTGAGCTCCCCACCCATCTAGGAGGCCTAGAACTGTCCAGTTGCGCCAGCACTGATTACAGGCCAGTTTTTAATCCATAGGATTTTTAAACATATAGGAGTTTAATACATGATTAATTGATGAATCGATTTTTGCATGTAGTACATCGTTGTTTTTAGTACTAAATCCCTGCATGTTTAATACATGATCCGCACGCGGAGCATATATAAAAAACGACACTGTATCATGCTCTGTGAGAGGGGGTGTGGGCGGGGCCCTCCGGCTCGCTCGAGCTTGCCAGCCTGACTTCGTGACGCTCCTGCTCCCGCTCCACTTCCCAATCCTGTTCGTACCCCTGTGCTCAACTCGTCCACGTCCTCCTCCTCGTCCAACTCCTCCCTCCTCCTCCTCCTCCTCCTCCTCCTCCTCGTCCTCCTCCTCCTCCTTCTCCTCCTCTTCCTCCTCCTCCGAGACAACGCCGCCCCAAAACATCGCGTCGTGCTGGACCGTTCGGTCCGCGGGGCACGGGCCAGACGTTGGGCGGGGCAGCGGACAGCGGCCAGGAGAAGGCAGCGGCTGCTCAAGGCCGACCTCTGCGCGGGCAAGCTCCAGTGTGGTCAAGGCACACAGCCCACGCCTGTCACGCGCAGTGGCAACTGATGGTGAGGACGCGCGATGGGGATGCAGGGGCCTTGGACGCCCAGGCCAAACTTTTTGAGTGGCGCCCCGAGGGCCCCCTGAGCGGCTGGTCAGCGAAAACGGCTGAGGACGGGCCGAAGAGGCAAGGACGCAAGGGTACTCTCGGGAACTCGCTTGTCCCTACCATGCGCGTTGACTGCAGTAGCCTGCGGATTGAGAGGAACAGTACAGGGAGGGGGTGGGGTGGGGGCACGCTCACGAAAGCTACAGTCTCGAAGCACCTTTCGATCGAAAGAGGAGCATCTCACATCCCTTCGGATTGTGATGGAACGCCTGTGTTTCAGGATGTCGAGCGTTCATGGTCAAGGGAGGGTGACATGGTCTGACGAACTTCGCAGGAGTGCTCGGTTCGAGGGAGGGAGGGCTCTTATGGTCGGGCGGAGCGCACTTCACACCTTGGCTCAGCGCCCTTTCGAGGCGCAACCAGAAAACACAGATGGCAAACTTCTGATGCCAACGTGCCCTCTGCCCGCAAGAAACGCCGAAGCAACCTTCATCTCGAGATCTGCCGAGGCGGACCTGGTCAGAACTATGAGGACAAACCGATCCCCAATGTGTAATGCCCTGGGCTTTCATTGATCAGCCGTCGATGTCGCAACCAGGTCCAGGCTCTGGAATTCGCACCATGAGCTCACGAATGACTCACAGCACACTGTGAAACCAAAACGAGCATCTTACGGTGCTCCCCTGGATGTGTGACATGGCGTATCTCCCATCGTGCAGCTGCTGGGCCGGCGCCCGTCGTATGAAGGGCAACAGCTGCATGCGGCACGCCAGATCGGACAGGAACTCACTGCAACCCCGGGGGACACACCACTGCCTGACCCACACGGCCCCCCTGGCCGTCGCTCGGACGCCCGTTCCCCGTGCTCTTGTTGTCGGTTCCGTGCGTGGCTTTTCCCCCAAATGATCGCGGATGCTCCTCGATGGTCCTCTGCGAAGGAAACATGCGCACGTCCGAGCGATGCCACGCCCCGCGCCCAGCGGAGGAGGAGAGGAGGAGGAGCAGGAGGAGGAGGAGGAGGAGGAGGAGGAGGAGGAGGAGGAGGGAGGAGGAGGAGGAGGATCAGGAGGAGGAAGGAGGAGGAAGAGGAGGAGGAGAGGGAGGAGGAGGAGGATGAGGATCAGGAGGAGGAGGAGGAGGATGATCAGGAGGAGGAGGAGGAGGAGGAGGAGGAGGAGGAGAAGGAGGAGGAGGTGGAGAGAGACGAGGATGCTTAGGAAGAGGAGGAGTGGTGCACGCTGGCGCGCGCTCCTCCGTCGAGGCACCGCCGGGGAGCACGGCCTCTCGGGTGCCCACCGCCGCCTCCCGTGCCGCCGCCTCGGCCTGCGCGCGGGCGCCGGGCGAGGGCGCGGCGCGAGGCGGCCCGAGGAGGAAGCACGCCCACTCGCAGTGGCGATCTCTACACATCTGTACACACGTTTGTATACCGTCGGGGCGCTGACCTAAGGAGCCCTAAATAAGGAACGGGGCCCCTTTTTTCCAGAAGTGCAACCTCGATCTCCCATCGAGAACATGAGGAACACCTGAGGCAAGCTGTGAAACAATTAAGGAACACGGAGCCCCTCCCCAACGAAAAGGGTTCCTTCTTCAGGGACCCGACTGTATGTCGATTCGATGTCTGTGTATCTATACATCTGTTTGTATGCACAGGCGCTGTGCGCATGCACCCATGCACATACGCATCTCGGCATATCCGCAGCGGTGCCGCGAGGCACTGGATGGGGCGCAATGATGTGAGTGTCATCAAGCCCCGCCGAGTCCTCATTGGCAAATATTGTGAGCACTCCCTGGGAAACCCCGAGCCCCAGAGTTCCGCAATCCATGCGCGTTGATGGCCAACGTGCTCGAAGATGGCCTCGTGGGGCGTGTCCTAAGGCCCTCGTGGGAGAGCCTTGGGCTGTCCGGGGGCGCTGGCCCAGGAGGAGCAGGAGGAGGAGGAGGAGAAGGAGGAGGAGGAGGATGAGGAGGAGGAGGGGGGGGAGGAGGACAGGGAGGAGGACGAGGAGGATAATAACGCGGACGAGGGCGAAGAGGAGCTGGAGCAAAGGAGGATGATGAGGAGGAGTTGGCCGAAGAGGATGTGGAGCCGGATAAGTTGCACGAGGGCGAAGAAGGTGAATACGACAAATATGATTATGATGCTGGTTATGATGATGAGGATGATGCTGATGATGGTGATGCTGATGCTGCTGATGACGATGACGATGATAATGATGATCATGCTGATGATGACGATGATGATAAGGGGTGGTGATGGTGGTCATGGTGGTGAGGACGAGGATGAGGACGAGGAGGAGGAGGAGGACGAGGAGGAGGAGGAGGAGGTTATTAACAACGCTGAACCACCTCCGGATTTTTTGTAGGATTCCCACATGCTCGCCTGCTCGGTCTCCAGAGTGCCCAAGGCGGCCCGACAGGCCCCCTAGATCCGCCCGAGAAGCCACTCGAGGCGCTCAATGGGGGGCCTGACAGAGGCCCAATAAGCCACCAAGCGAAGAGGCGGAGGTTGGGGATAAGAGGGATGCATGCAGGGGGTGGGTTTGAGGAGCGATTCCGAAACGACTGGAGATCCCAAGGGGCTCTGGGAGCCCTTCCCCCCAACAGGTCCCCGAGACCGATCCCAGAATCACCATGATGCTCCGAAGAGGCTCCCAAAGAGGCCCCCGCCCAAAGATGTCGTCCAGAGGGCCCTGGTCCACAGCGCAAATAACGCGTTGCGCCCCCAACTCAGGCACGGTGGCGGGTTAAGCTGGGTGCCGCTGGATACGCAATCCGAAAGTATGCATCAACTCCATCCACCACTCCGCAGCCCAAACGTACTGTTACTGGCTGAGGTAAACTGAAGCAGCGAAGCTGACTGAACACACAATATGCAAGTAAGGGGATTACTTGCACTGACAGCAGAGCCGAATCGTCACGATCCCCAGCTGCTGCGCGACTTTAGCCCACGAAGCGTTAGTGTTTCTCGTAGGCCCGAGTGTGCAATTCTTGAAGCAACAATGCGAAGTATATTGACTGAAAGAGGACCATGCTCAAGACAACGAAGAGATCACGGCGCAAGCAGGAGAGAGCATAACGGAAAGCTGCCACGCGGTGGACCCAAACTGCCTCAAACGGGCTTCCCTTCGCGGAACTTCTTGGCAAACGAGGAATCGCGCGAGCGCAGAAAACGACTCAGGGCAACTGGCGGACCCCTGTGCTTCGCAGCATCGTGTGATGGTTCTTTGGGCACCTCCCCCTACTGCCGCATTCGCTCAGCTTGCCAGTGAAGCCAGCAAGATGGGATCTTTAATGGTCTTGAGTCTGACTTGGCGCCCACGTGTAGGGAATGTGCACAACCTGGCAAGCAGCGAATGAGCTGAACATCAGGGCAACTTGGGACGCATAGAGAAATACTGATACTGGATGTCCTTCTTGGAGGCACGCGTCCGACCCGAACATCGAGTGTACTCGTCTTGTAGCGCGTCGTTTCCCGAGGGGTGTGGCCAGAGAACGCCTGCCATGACGCATATACTTTAAGATTTCTCGGTGTGCGCGTCGCCCCTGGGGGGGGGACTACGCACACATAGAATTTGCATGTTGGGGTGACGCCGATGGATGACGCCAACGATCCACCCACACCGATCCTGACCACGCCAACCATGGGCCCAACCCTGGTCCCAACATTATGAAGGGGCCCCAGGACACACAAATAAATACACACAAATAAAACGATCCTATTTTTGGGGTTTTTGTCTTCCCCCCGACTTCCCATATTTTCCCATATTTTCTGGGGAATCGACGATTGATTGTGTCTGTGTGTTTTTTCCCCTTCTGACATTAGCCTGGCCACAAATTGTGGAGTCCACAACCCGGGCATTGGAGCGCCAGAGAGCCGTCGAACGGCCTCTCGAGGGAGCGCTGGAAAACTCATCGAAGGAGCCTCCGACGGAGCTTCTCGAAGGATCTTCCGAAGGAGCTGCTGAAGGAGCTATTGAGAAGCTTCTGAGGAGCTCTCGAGGGAGCTTCCGAAGGAGCTTCTCGAAAGAGCTTCTCGAAGGAGCTTCCGAAAGCCTCTCGGAGGAATTTCCGAAGGAGCTTCTGGAGAGCTTCCGGGCACCAGCACAAGGAAACGCTTAGGAAAGGCCCGCTGGGACACGCTGCAGCTTCAGGCCGGCCCCGCCGGGGAATCTTCACGGAAGCTGGAGCGAGCTCCAGGGCTACCCGGCGAAGCCGGCATCTCACTCTACAGCCCTGCAGCTAACTCTCCAGGGAGCTCTCCGGGAACCGGTACACATCTGCGAACTGGCGACGTCGCGCACTGAAGCCAACCTGGCCCTCCCTGGGCCTCTCCCAGAGCGCGTTCTGACTCGGACTTCGAGGCGAACCCAGCCGTGGCGACGAGGGCCCCCCCAGGATCGGGAGCGGCCAAGAGGGGGGCGTCCAAGAGGGGGGGGCGCAAATCATGGCCGGAGGCATGTGCGCGGCCCCTGGGGGGGCCGAGGCACGTAATGAAACAAGAAGAGGCGCCGTGAGATCTGGGGAAATATCATGGCCCCCGCCATGATATCCACCCCCCCCTAGTCATCACCCCCCTCTTTTCCGCCCCCGACAGGAGAGCCAACAGGGCGAGCACGAGGCCGGAGCAGCCGCCCCGGCATGCCGGCACCTTCCCCTCCGCTGCGCCGCTCCGGCGCGGGCTCGGCGTGGGCTCGCCGCGGGCCCGACTTAACGTCTCGTGCCCGAGGCCGCCAGGGCTGAGCCTCCACTTGTGTGGTTCCCATCCCACTTAAAGGACCACATCCCCAGAAAAAGTGTCAAAAGAGTGTCAAAGGAGTGTCAAAACGATACCAAAAAAAAATGCCAAAACAGTGTCATGTCGAGCACCCGGAAACGTGTCAGCCTCGCGCGCCGCGCCCTGCGGCGCCCGACGCGCCCCTCCCCTCTCCGCGCCCTGCGGCGCCGCCGCCCTGGAGAGCCGCGAGGAGCGCGGGCGCGGCGCGGCTCGGGCCCGGCCAGGCCGTGCCCCGTGGGCCGCTCCTCCTCCACCTCCATCCTCCTCCTCCTCCTCCTCCGCCTCCTCCTCCTCCTCCTCCTCCTCCTCCTCCTCCCTCTCCCTCCCTCCCTCCCTCCCTCCCTCCCTCCCTCCCTCCCTCCCTCCCTCCTCCTCCTCCTCCTCCTCCCCTTCCTCCCCCCCCTCCTCCTCCAGGTCGGGCCCCGCTCCACCAGGTCGGGCCCCCGGCGCCGCGCGAAAATGCCCGCCCGCGCCCCCTCCTCCTGCTCCGCGCCGGCCCTCGCGCCGCCGCCCCCGGAGAGTGCCCCGTGGCCCGCGCGATCCCGCGGTGCCCGGGCTCGGGGGCGCGAGCCCGCGGATGCGGCGAGGGCGCTGGGCGAGGAGCCACAGTGAAGGGGGCCACACGAGCGAGGTGAACCCCCCCCTCCCCCTCAGAAATCGTGGGGGGTAGGGGTAGGGTTCGCGTGTGGCCCCCGAACAGGGCAACGATCGGCGCCGCGCCCGAGGGGGGGGGGAAGCGAGAGGGGGCGCGAGCCCGCGGACACGGCGAGGGCGCTGGGCGAGGAGCCACAGTGAAGGGGAACTGGGACACACAAATAAACAGACACGAATCACCAGACTCCACATATTTTCCCATATTTTCTGGGTTTTCGTCTTCCCCCCCACTTCCCATCGTTTCCCATATTCTCTGGGGAATCGAGGTTTCATTGTGTCTGTGTGTTTTTTTCCCTCCTGACACAGGTAGGGGGCCACACGCGACCCCTACCCCTACCCCCCACGATTTCTGAGGGGGAGGGTGGGCTTCACTTCGCTCGGGAGCTCCCGAACGAGGTGAACCCCACCCTCCCCCTCAGAAATCGTGGGGGGTAGGGGTAGGGTTCACGTGTGGCCCCCTAACAGGGCAAGGATCGGCGCCGCGCCCGAGGGGGGGGGGGGGGGAAGCGAGAGGGGGCCGGCCTGCTGAGATGGCTCGAAGGGCCTGCGGCCTTCTCTGGTGAGTCTTCAGAGCCTCCTCCGAAGACGCCCGGGAACTTCTCGGAAGGCGCGAGGGCTTCTGAGACGTCCCGTCGCCTGCTGAGAAGGCCTTCTGCCTCTGGCTTGCCTCGGGCCTCGCCGCAGCCAGGAATCCAAAGTCTGGAAGCCGGTGGAACTCCAACCGTGGACTGGCCGTGGGTGCCACCGCCGCCCTCACTGGACACGGACTCCTCCGGGGTCTGAAGCCTCCTGGGCACATTCCTTGACGACGCCCCCACCGCACGCGGCCGCACGCCTGCGTTCTGCGCGGAACATCCGCGAAAAAAAACGCCTGGCATCCGCGGGGCCGCGGCCCAGGGGCCCAGCCTGCGACTCCGCGGATACGGGAATGTCTTCGCTGTTCGTCCGCGAGCCGCGGTGGGTGGCCCAGGCGCGCGCAGTCAATTTGGCAGGGCTCCAGGATCCAGGACCCGACTCCAGGATCCCGACTCCAAGTCGAAGGGGAGGGGTCCAAAGGAACCAGCTCCCGATGCCAAGATCCCGACTCGAGGACCCCAACGCCAGAACCCCGACTCCTGGTCAAAGGGAACGGGCCCCGACTCCAGGATCCAGGACCCGTTTCCCGGCTCCAGGGCTCCGTCCCAGGACAAGCCCTTCGGCCTGAGTTTAAATCGGGCCTGTCCCCCTACAAGGGGGTTATCGACGAACCATAAAAAATACCCAAAAAATAATCAAACAAATAACCCAAGAATAGTCCAGGGACTATGTTTTGAGCATTTTGGGACCTTTGTGGGGTATTTTTTAGATTTTTCGTTGAAAATCCCCCTGTAGGGGGTCACGCCCGACAGAAGCCTGACTGGTCCACTGCGTGACGGCCCCCCTGGGCCCAGGCACGGCCCCGCGAGCCCGCCGACCGGGGAGCCGCGGCCGCGGAGGGGCCGTCTCCCCTCGGGGGCCTGCGGGGCCTCGTGGCGATCGCCGCTCGCCCTGGCCCGTCCGCACCCCGGGGGCAGCGCGCGGCGGGGCCCTCCTGCTCCTCCTCCTCCTCCTCCTCCTCCTCCTCCTCCTCCTCCTCCTCCTCCTCCTCCTCCTCCTCCCCGTCCTCCTCCTCCTCCTCCTCGTCCTCGTCCTCCTCCTCGGGGGCCCCTCGTCCTTCGGGGGGCAGCGCGCGGTGGGCAGCGCACGGGAGGGGGCGCGGGGCCTCGCGGGCGAGCCGCTCGGCGGCCGTGGACACCTGCGGGGGGGGAGGCTCTCGGCGGTCGGGCTCGGCCCACCGAGATCTCGGCCCGGCGCCGTGGCGCGGCGGTCGGCACGGCGAGCGGCGTGCAGGGATCCCACGCCTTCCCCGCCAGTGCTTCGCGGCATGGGGGGCGGAGCAGGATGTGGGCAGCGTCGCCGCGTTTCCCGCCCCAGGCCCCTGAAAGAACTCCACATCGAGCAGGGAGATGAGAAGGAGGATGAGAAAGCAGAGGAGAGGATGGATTACAAGCATGACCGCCATCGCAGGTGCGATGCAATAGAACCGCTCCAAAATAGCCAAGCGTGCACCTGCAGAGCAAAAGCTAGGGCGGGTTCCTCCCCTGTTGCTCCCGAGCGCGGCGCTCACCCTTGAGCAGAAGCCACGCCGGGTCCCTCCCTCCTGCTCTCAAGCCTGAGCGGCGCGCACCTTTGGGGCGCCGCGCGTTCTGACAATTCCGAAGCGGCGGGCGCATGGGGGCAGCGTGGGGGCTCTGGGCCTGCACGGCGCTGCCGCCCAGGGCTCATAGGTGACGACATGCGGCCTTAGCGTGCCGCCCCAACGAGCCTCCGTGGGGCGCCACTCCCACGGCAACCAACCTGCCCCCACACACGCCTGGGCGGGGGACCCAAGCCGTGAACAGGATGGGTAGGGGCAAAACAGGCGACGAGGTGCAAGAGTATCTCCCCCGCCCGCCCCTGCCGAACATCGTGGTTGCCCACGTTCCTCGGACAAGCACCGGCGATGTGAGCATCGGACTGCTACCCGCCTGTTCACCTGGGAAGCGGACCCAGTGGCACAGGTGCCGCGGATGAGGAGGAGGCCTCGGAGGAAGGAGGAGGAAGGAGGAGGGGGAGGAGGAGGAGCAGGAGGAGGAAGGAGGAGGAGGAGGAAGTTGCGGAGTGGCAGGGAGAAGGGAAATGCCGGTGAACAGAATGGAGGAGGAGAAGGAGGGAATATAAGGGGGGGGCAGAATGGGGAGCACGGGGGTGAGCGAGCGAATGGGGGCGAAGGGAAGAGCGAGAGGAGAAGGAAGAAAAGGAGAGGGCGGGGGTGGGGGAAGGGCGAAAGTGAGTCCCAGAGGGCTCGAGGGGGCCCCAAGATGCTCGGACAGTCCCAGGGGTGGGCCGCCTCACGCACTCTGTCTAGCCACCTGCGTTTTCATGCTTATACGCGGAGTCGCCCAAATGACCGCGCACCGCGCAAGGGTTGACAAACGATTATCGCTCGTGTGCCTCCTCTGCAGCCTCCGCTTCTGCGATCTTCTCCCTCTTGCATTTCCCCCCTGAGCATTTACGGCATTATCCTCTTCCTCCCCCTCCTCTTCCTCCTCCTCCTCCTTCTCTTCCAATTCCACCACCTCCACCTGTCCCGTCTGCAACCTGTGCGGTGTTATATCCCGACCTGTCCCTCCCTAACCGGGACCGACATTTTCAACGCCCTTCTCAACGCTTTGGCAACCACGGATGTCCCGCGATGGTGGTCCAAACTATACTCGGGCCAGCAAACTGGACCTCATGCGAAGTAGAAGGGTAGCAGCTAGCGCGTCCTGAATTCAGCACATCAAACTTGAGTGTCGAAGCCGAAGTCATCTCACCCACGGCCTGTTACAACATAATGTCCAAACTGTGTCTCGTGTTGGGTAACCTCGGGGATGCGCAGTACCAGCCGCGTCTCGAAGTCGTCCCATCGCGTAAGAATGAATCCTAGCATGCGCGCACGCTTCGTGCGGGCTCTCGTGTTAGACGACCTCTGACATGCAAACTTATCGAATGCCCCACATACACACAACATTGGGGTAATGACATGCGGGGTTCCGGACAAATGATAAAACAGTTTCCAGCAGGTCGCATGCATGGATACGGTGTACGGATGTACGGAGTGTAGAGGTAGTAGTAGTAGTAGTAGTAGTAGCAGCAGTAGTAGTAGTAGTAGTAGTAGTAGTAGTAGTAGTAGTAGTAGTCGTAGTAGTGGTGGTGGTGGTGGTATTATTATTATTAGTAGTAGTAGCAGTAGCAGTAGTATTAGTATTATTATTATTATTATTATTAGTAGTAGTAGTAGTAGTAGTCGTAGTAGTAGTAGTAGTAAGAGTAGTAGTAGTAGTAGTAGTAGTAGTAGTAGCAGTAGTAGTAGTAGTAGTAGTAGTAGTAGTAGTAGTAGAATTAATGGTAGTAATAGTTGGGAACTAGTCGTGATTGCAGTAGTAGTAGTAGTAGTAGTAGTAGGAGTAGGAGTAGTAGTAGTAGTAGTAGTAGTAGTAGTGGTAGTGGGTAGTAGTATTAGTATTACTAGTAGTAGTAGTAGTAGTAGTAGTAGTAGTAGTAGTAGTAGTAGTAGTAGTACTAATAGTAGCAGTAGTGATAATAATAGTAATAGTAATACTAGTTATAGTAGTAGTAGTAGTAGTAGTACTAGTAGTAGTAGTAGTAGTAGTAGTAGTAGTAGTAGTAGTAGTAGTAGTAGTAGTAGTAATAGTAGTATAGTCGTAGTAGTAATAATAGTAAATTCGTTAACAGTAGTAGCATAGTGTAGTCAGTAGTAGTAGTAGAAATAATACATAATATTTTAGTAGTAGTAGAGTAGTATTAGTAGTAGGAGTAGTAGTAGTAGCAATTAAATAGTATTATCATCGTAGTCGTAGATCCGTACTCAGCAGAAGGCGTAGTAGTCGTAGTAGTCGTAGTAATAGTAAGTATAGTAGTAGGTACTCGTAGTCAAATCGTAGTAGTAGTAGTAGTAGTATATTAGTAGTAGTAGTAATGAGTAGTAGTAGTAGTAAAGTAGTAGTAGTAGTAGTATTATAGTAGTGGTAGTAGTAGTAGTAGTAGTAGTAGTACTAGTAGTAGTAGTAGTAGTAGTAGTAGTAGTAATGGTAAGAGTAGTAGTGGTAACCGTACTACTCGTAGTGGTAGTAGTAGTAATAGTAGTAGTAGTAGTAGTAGTAGTAGTAGTAGTAGTAGTAGTAGTAGTAGTAGTAGCAATAACAGTCGTAGTGGTAACCGTACTACTCGTAGTGGTAGTAGTAGTAATAGTAGTAGTAGTAGTAGTAGTAGTAGTAGTAGTAGTAGTAGTAAGAATAGTAGGGGTGCACATGGTTTTCGTGTCGCTACAAACCTCACCTTCGTGTACTCTTCTTTTGTATCAGGCCGAATAGAACTCCTACAAGGGGAATTGCGAAAACCGTAGTTTCAAACGTGGCCTTCGTGTCTTTCGCGCCAATGCCTACCTTCGTGTACTATTCGCTGTAGAGGCTGTAGATTGGATTCGCATTAGAAAAGGCAGGTGTACACCTGTCCTTCGTGTCGATGTCGGATTTGGAGCAACCGCCACTGCCAGCCGTTTCATTTAGGCATAACCCTCTTGAGGATCGTGGGCCTGGCCCTCCGACGCGCGATTCCGGCGCGCACTTCACTAGGATCGTGGCCCTGGTCCAATTGGGAGCGCTGCCGAAGGCCCACCGACGTCCAATTCGGGCACGCCGCTCACGAGGATCGTGTCCTGGCCCACCTGGGGGCGCTGCCGACGGCCCACCGATGAGCAAGATCGGCGCACCCCTCACACGGATCGTAGACCTCGCCACATTTGGATCGCCGCCCGACGCTGAAGTTCGGCACACCTCTCACATGGATCGTGGCCCTGGCCCACTGTGGAGCGCTGCCGACGGCCCACCGACGCCCAATGCGGGAACACCCCTCACGAGGATCGTGGCCCTCTGGTCCACTTGAGAGTGGGTTTTCATAAGGACGTCGTTCTGGTTTTATTCGGGAGCACATTCTGGCTTTATTCGTTTCTGGTTCGTGATGGTTAGGAGGAAGAGGAGGGAGAGGAGGAGGAGGAGGATGAGGAGGAAGAGGAGGGGGAGGAGGAGGAGGGGGAGGAGGAGGAGGACGAGGAAGAGGAAAGCGAGCATGACAAGAGGAACGCTGTTTTCCCGTCTTCCACAATGGGTTTGCGAACCTCACCTTCGTGTAGTATTGGCTCTGTAGCCCCTGTATTGTTTTCTTACGAGCGAACGGCGAAATTGTGGGTGTCCGAACCCCTTCTTCGTGTACTATTAGAATCAGTGGGCTTCCGAACCTTATTTTCGTGTACTATTAGGTCTATAGCCCCTGTATTGTTTTCCTATCAGCGAATGGCGAAATTGTGGGTTTCCGAACTTCTGCTTCGTGTACGATTAGAATCAGAGTATTCTTTGTTATTCTATTTGGTTGTATATGACTATGTAGAACCCGAACCCTTACCCTTACCCTTACCCCTACCCATTCATTCTTAGTAGACACGAAGGTGAAGTTTGACCCTCGTAGTAGTAGTAGTAGTAGTAGTAGTAGTAGTAGTAGTAGTCGTAGTTGTAGTAGTATTAGTAGTAGTAGTAGTAGCAGTAATCGCAGTAGAAATAGTAGTAGTCGTAGTAGTAGTGGTAGTAGTAGTAGAAGTAGTAGTAATAATAATAGTAGTAGTCGTAGTAGTAGTAGTAGTAGTAGTAGTAGTAGTAGTAGTAGTATCAGTAGTAGTAGTAGTAGTAGTAGTAGTAGTAGCAGTTGTAATCGGAGTCGTAGTCGTAGTCGTAGTAGTAGTAGTAGTAGTAGTAGTAGTAGTAGTAGTAGTATTAGTATTAGTAGTAGTAGTGGTAGTGGTAGTGGTAGTAGTAGTAGTAGTCGTAGTAGTAGTGGTAGTAGTAGTAGTAGTAGTCGTAGTAGTAGTAATAGTAGCAGTTGTAATCGGAGTCGTCGTAGTAGTAGTAGTAGTAGTAGTATAGTTGTTGTAAGTAGTACTAGTAGTAGTACGTAGTAGTCGGTATAGTATTAGTAGTAGTGACGTGTAGTGGTAGTGTGGTAGTAGTAGTAGTAGTGAAGGGTAGGGGGTAAAATTTTAGGTTAATTGGTGGTAGTAGTACTAGTAGTCGTGGTAGTAGTAGTAGTCGTAGTAGTAGTAGTAGTAGTAGTAGTAGTTGTAGTAGTAGTAGTGTACTAGTAGTCGTAGTAATAGTCGTAGTC